TAGGCTTTGACATGCCAGAATATTACCACTTCCGTTGTCTGTCCTTACATAAAAGCCTGTGCATATTTAGTATTTACTTGATAGCTCACAATAAATCAGTAATTAAGGAGCAGATAAGATACACATGAATCTAGACACTCAAAACAAGAAATGTTCTTAATTCAGATTAAAATAGCTACAAAGACAAAACCCCATGCTCTTAGCTTGGGGTTTCCTACATACTTTAAATAAAAGCTGTTAGCCAAAGTTAACACCCAACTTGTAATTCCTTAACAGGTAGGTTTGTTGTATTTCTTTTATACTCTTGTCACCTTTACACTCTGCCCCTCTTTACTTCTGGATCCCTTACACAGGGCGTTGGAGCCTGAAAACATGAAAAGCCAGGGCTCTGCTCTGCCAAGGACCATTAGCATTATGGTAGGAAAGGGGATCAGAGAAGTGTTTCCTACAAAGCAGAAGATTTTAAAGCTTTCTGAGAACAAGTGAGCAGAACGTTTACAGGCTGTGGCACTGCCTCCCTAAGGGAAGCACCAAAGGCCACTGGTGCCCAGGAGGCTCTGACCTTTAAAAGGTTGCAAGGGGTAAAGAAAGTCTGTAACGACGCTACAGGACAGCATGAAGGCTAAGCACACAGCAGTATCCTTTGAGATACACTAGTCCATTATACTAGAAAGACAAGTGATTTAGGCTGAACACTAATTCCTGTGATCATAGTTCTATGACAAATTACTTATCGTGTAAGTAGTATACAGAACATTGTGAAAAAAGCAGCTCCCTGTGGGGCAAAAGTGATTTAACAACCAGATGCAGACAGTCTCTAAGAAGAGGAAGGTGGAAAAATGTTAAGGCTGTGAGAAATGTAGATGTGAGGGGAAATAAGTAATTTTCCTGCCTAATGCAGGATCTTCCTCGACACTGATGCAAAAGAAACTTACTTGATATGCAAGTCCTATGCTGAAAACAGATTCCTGTATCTCCAGAAGGCAAGAATAGATATAATTTTCCTTTCTTGCCGTTTCTAGGGTATCTGGTGGAGTCAGACAGGGTTGACTAAATAATAAATACTTCTTATACTTCAAGTATTTCCTGTAACAACACCTAAGGTTATTATCATTAGTATCTAAGAATGTTAATAAATAATTTCCACATGCTGTAAACAGCATCTGGTCTGTTTCGCATACTTATGCTGCTGAAGTAGGTTCTGCTGCCATAATCCCCATCTGACTAGGCTGTCCCTGCTGCCACATCAGTCCACTCCCCGGCTGCCAGGGAGTTATAACCAGCAGTTACAGTTCTGCTTGCAGCTTTTTCATTCCTCTGCACATTCACACCCTCAAACACAGACTCTGCTACTGAACAGCCAACATCCTCTCTGGTAGTAGCCATGAGGCAGGCAGAAAGAATTTCTTTTTCGCTTCTTAGAAGAACATAGCTTTCTGTGCAAGCAAGGACAGAGAGGTTGTCTAGACAACGCTGGGACTCAGACAACCTCTATTTCTGCTACGGACTTCCCAAATGGCTTTACACAACTGTCTACGTTATGTCCCATTTCTGAACTATAAGATGAAGATACTGCGTTTGCCTTTGTGACTTTTTTGTCTTTCTTCAGGGTGTTTTGTGTGGGATGAAACCACCTTTTTTTACACTCCTAGAATGCAAACATGCTGACCCTTGAAGTCTGTTACAGCTTCTCACTAAAAAGAGTTCATTCTGTGGTGAGAAATGCTGCACTGGGGAGAAGGGAATGTTATTACTTCCCTTTCCTCAGTAGCCTGCTTTATGAGAACAGCATCTGGCCTGCCGGGCCTCCCTCATAAAGGGTAGTAGGACCCGACTGATATAACAGGAGTGCTTACATTTGAGTTGCAGTTGGCCTGTGGTGCTCTGTATCAGACCTTTGCCCTCTCACATTTTTAAGGTAAGACAAAGTAAGTCAAAATGCTCACACAGTAATCCAATGCCATATGGATTGTCCTGTCATTATTTTACTCCTGGGATTTGACAACAGGAACTACCTCAAGCACCAAATAAGTAATCTCCACTAAAACAATCCACTAAAACAATTGCCCTGTAATTGCTTTCAGAAGCAGTAAAAGCAACCCTATGACTCCCGCACAGCTAGGAAAAACTCTGCAAGTAATTTAATAGGCATATCTAAGGACTCCAGAATAGAGCTGTATCATCATTCCTCATGCTCAGCCTCCATCAGCTTTCTGATGTAAAGTACTCACTTCTGCTGCACTTTGTTTTCAGTTCTCTGAACAGGCTCATTTCACAGGAAGGGAGAACCATGCCTCTAGGAAGCAGTATGAAAATGCATTACATAAATGACAAACTGTAAGAAGAGCCTGAAGGGCAGTTGAGGAGAACAAGCAGAGGCATTTCTGTGAGCTGTAAAGCATTGCTAACAGTAGCATTAAGGAGAAAGTTTATATGGACTAGAAATATAGTCTCTGAAGATGCCTAAAAACCATACAGATCAGTTCTATAGCTGCTAAGCTTCATTTTGTCAGGATGCAGCAAGGACAAGCTCTTCCCTAATGGACAAGGAGCTAGGCACAGTAACAAGGCTGGTAGTGCCCTCAATACCTGAATAAGGCAGACCCAGAGAGAGCAGCACATTTGATCAAGTATCCAGGTTAGCTAGCAAGTTGTGGCAATGGTGGTGGTCCAAGGTCAAAAGAGAAAAATGATCTACAGATGAGGTCTGGTCCAGCCAGAGTCAGACACAGCTGATTAAGCACTCATCAGACCCCACAGAGACAAGACAAACCTATGAAGCCAGAAAGGCAGCCTGTAAGTCATGGCTGGAATCAATAGCCAGATAAGACAATCACTAAGCTAGAGACCAGTACTCCTACAGCAGAGCTTTTTACAGCTCTAGTGTTGTGACACTGCCTGAAGTTCCTTTCTAAACAGACTAACTGGCACTCTCTTTGCTAATTACAATTTAAATAAGAAAATAATATATTATGAGAAGGAATAGAAACTGTTGTTGATGCTTAATTTGGATTACAACAATGGTTCTCAGCCCTTCTCTGCTGAACCAGACTGTCCATAAAGATGTCACGAATCTCACTGCAACTCCCACTTGAGGAACTTCTCTAAAGGATGAATGATTTTGAGATGCTGTTCATGGGGTTCATGTGTCAGATATTTTTTATGTCCCAGCTCTCCTGATCAGTACTTTCAGAATATTCAGTCTTCTCTCCAACAATTAATAAATTATTTTGCTGCTATTTTTAACTCTTGCTATAATCAAACTGATAAGCTGGCTAGGAAAAACATATGCTATTGTTTCATAAAAGCTGAACCATTTCCAGCTGCAGTAGAACAGGTGGCTTGAAAAGGTAACAGAAACAACATGTGCTTCTCTTGAAATTAAATTTCTTAAGAGATCTGTTTCATGATTAATCAGAATCTAACAGATAATGTAATAATTTTAATGAATGGTAGGTAAATCATGGTGCAACTTGCTTTTCAAGCACTGAGTATTGCTCAGACCAAGTGACAGTAAGAGAATATAGTAAGAATAGATAGTAAGAAGAAGTATACAACTGAGATTATATCAAACATTACTTCAGACGTAGAACCAAAGGAGAGAAGTTTGAGAAACATGGAATTCCACAGGTTCCATTAAGGGAAAGAACATGTCCAACTATTATTTTTCTATAAATTCAGAAGGTTCTTGTATACCTTTCATCACAACTTAAATAAAAGGAGAGTGGTGACTACAGAGGATGAGATGCAGAACAAAAGACCAAGTGGGCAAGAAGTCTTCCTAAAGACTTGGGCTCTGCTGAAGCAGTTTTTACTGCACTATATCAGAAAGTCTTTCTTACCTTGTGTTATCATTTCACTTAAAAAAAAAAGGTATTTCCTATAATGTATAATGTAACAAATGTACACGGGATGTTCTGATGTAGAACAGATTGAGACAAGGCATTGTGGTTTTGTCATGTGATAAAATAGGTTGTCATTGAAGTTATTGTGCCTTATCAATGTTTTCAAATTAAAAATTAATAGCTATTCAAATGAAATTGTATTCAAAGGAATAAAATTTGCCCTCTAATTTCATGCAGAACAAGCTATCCCCACACCTTCCTTATTGTTTACTTGAAAATAGTTTCTTGTGAAACAGGTAAGACCCTGAGTCCTATCTCAGAAGATAGCTTATCTTGCTGTGATTGCATTTATTTGAACAATGTTATCAAATGAAAGAACAACATGCAGAAACCCAGTTTCATTGTTTAGTGTTCAACAGACTGTATTACACTATAAAACAGATTCTGTAGTAGTTCACTAAGCACCACCAAAGCACCCCTTAACTTAATACTATTTGTTAAAACAAAGTACCTCCATTCTCCTTATCTAATTTCCAAAATCAGAATGATGGTATTTTAGATCTAATTTACAAATAATCAGGCCAACATCTATTTAGCAAAACAGATGTATCGATGAAATAGCATCTACATAGTTACATTCTTCTAGCACTGGGTGTGGGCCTTTTTTAAACTGTTAGTTATCTTTCAGAGTAAGCATAGGCTTTCCCAAATGATTGTAATTCAGTGAGTGTATTATATGCAGCAACACGCTGAAATATGCCTTTACTCTGGGGGGGAAAAACTATGTTTCCTTGTTTCCATCGTGTCATTAAGTAATGTCATTCTCTGCAATGGAGGTTTCCTTCATTACCTAACGAAAAGTCCCTAAGTCTGTGCCAAACATAGCAGTGAAAGCTTTCTAAGGATCTTGTTACAAAGTTTGTGTACTTGTTAGCTTGCTGGGTGTGCAAAGGACTCTTGAACACAAAATTAGAGTGGGACTGGCAGATATGAAACTCTGAATTATTCCAAGCAGTGACTGTTAGGCTCCCAGAGATTAGTTTGCTGCAGGTATGGTCCATCACTTTCCCTGTTAAGAAAAATAGCCTGCTTTTTGCTTTTCCAGTTTCTCACAAATCTAAGTATTTATTCTTCCACATGGACTGAAAGACTGAAATGAAGAAAGGAGAAGTAAGAAAAAGAATGAATGAGAAATACCACTTGGGAAAACTGAAGGAAGGAAGAAATGAAGGATGGGATGAAAATCAAGATAAGTTGGGTCTGGGTGAAAAAGAACTGAGTAAGGTGAAAAAGGTGAGAAAAGGAATTACTTCATCACTAAGGCAGTATTTATAGTGCAACAAGAATGGCATAACTTGGGTAAATGAACTGTTGCTTGAACTCTCAAGCTTTCACAGGACCCTACTTAAATAATTCTGAGTGTATTTTTTTAAGGTCATTCTACTGTTAATTTCTTCCACTTATAATCACAATTTCTATTCAACAGGCCTCCAACCCTTAGGATGACATCTTCTAAACTGGTAGATTGGTATGTACAATACTATGTAAAGTGATTCTTCTTTTCACATGCTAACTCCTGAAAGAACACAACCCCACTCCAGTGCCTACCATTATGTGATTTAATGCATGTGTGTGCAGGGGTGGCTGGAGCTCTTATGACTGAGAACTCACCTGAGATGTTTTGTTTATACTAGAGTATGCTTTGGGCAGTGGACTACAGCCACACCTCTAGGGTTTGAGTGCTGTAAATAATTCACTTGTTTAGGAAGATTCCGTGCTAATCAATGAAGTGGGCATATCAATATTTACTTTCATAACCAACAAAGGGGCTGTTAAAGATAACAATGCCTTAATCTACCACACACATAAACATCATTAAAATCAATATGACTTAGCATATGTTTTTGTTTTAGTTACCATAAGCTTCATGTCCTTATCAGATTTGATAGAGGTTAAATGATACCAGTTAATACTAAGTTATCACACTGATTCTTACAGACCTTCTGCAATCTTATTTTATACCTTATGATCTATAAACACTTCTGGAAACTTGCCCAGTTTTTGAAACCAGTTTTACTATAATTTGCTTCCAAAGTGAAACTGACCTCATTTGTTATTTCCAGTTAGAGCTCACACTGTTTTTAACCTGCCTTTCAATGAAACAGCAACTTACAGGCACAAATGGAAAGAAAAGAAAGGGACCAAAGGGATAAAACAAAAGAAAGCAAACTAGAAGTGGGGCCTTAAGTTACTAAATCTCCTTTAGAGTAAAGAGAAAAGTAGTATGATCAGCATTTATGTTAACTTTTGGAGGTCTCAAATGTCTGCTGGTTGCTTTTAAAAATATTTCACATGGAATTTCAGAACTCTTTTTTTTTTTTTTCTTCCTCATAGAAAACTATCTTAGAAGTTTTTTCCCATTCCTGGGTAGAGGGAATGAGAAACATACCTCCTCCCATCCTGTTTCTATGCTACTTGTTAATAGGGATACCTGTTTTTTGATGAGCAAAGCCCAGAAGAGCCCTTCTTCATCTGCCTTGGACATTCAAAGGCCATTCTTGTCTAAGTACTGATGTTCTTCCAGAGGAGTCCCTCCTTTGGAGAGATGATTTCTATGACAGACTTGCTTTACAAATTTGTAATCCTCTCACACAAGTGTTACTCCAAAACCATTATCAAGATCAACATACTTGGTTTCAGTAGATATTCCTTAAAAACATACATTTGATTTGACTTACTAGTCTTATCACAACCCTTACATCTTTTTTCTTTCTGTGTGGAGAGTAATAAAAAACATGCAACAATGCATTCCTGTAATGGAACAGACTTCTAATAGTCTAGATGCAATATATAAAGTTTTTTGGCTTTTATCAAGCTAAACAGAAAGGTAGCAACGTGGCATAGTCACTGTATTTCATTATTTCCCACATTAACTTCTTGTGTTCGTTAGCTTTACTACAAAAATTCTAAATAGTTGTCCATTAGCAAAAGGCAGTTCAACTAGATATTTTCCCAATAATTTTAATAGTGCAATCCTTAAAAAAACTCTGAATATCTGTATTATTTCACAATATTTTTGAAATAAACGTATTCTTAGTTTAGAAGCTTCATGCAAAAATATTGACTGGGAGCTACCAAGAGACTTATTTTGACTTTTTTTTTTTCATGAAAAAAAACCAGAATTTACGCGTTTCATACCACTTGAAGATATCAGTTTTTCCACAGGCAACATTATACATTCTCTGACTAGCTCTAATGTTAATGTTCATGCAGATTACTTTTAGGAAGTAAGCTTCCCACACCACTAATGACTTTTCAGATCCATTAGTCTGTTATGTATTATTGATTTCAAGCATTACTGATTAATGCTGTAAGTAGATTTATTTCTGCTCCTAGACAGTGAAGGACTGTCACCTCTTGTTACTGTTGTTAGATGAATGTCTCTGTGTTCTTTACTCAGTGCCTAGCTATGTCTCCTTTCATTTCTCTGCTCGTCTGTCCTCTGTGCCACTGAACTGTTCTCTCCTTTACTATGTTTTTCTAATACTCACTTAAATGGTACCATCTACCTTCTATGTAAGAGGAATTTGCACTATACTTGGAAAGTATAAGGTAGTTGAAAAAATGGAGAACTCATCCATGTGCAGCAGTGTTTTTTGAAAGTTAACAGGGTGGTGTTTCACATTCATTGCTCTGTTCAGAGCCTGACTCTGCCACTGGCCACAAGGCGCTCTGTGCCTGGATGCTACTGCTCTCCAGGGACTAGTCTGCTGTTAGCAATGTGGAGGCTCTTCAGTCACTTTGGCAGCTCCTCATCCCACCACTTCCAGGTTCCAGATTCTTTGCAGTGTCCAGGTGTATGGGTTTACTCAGTTCTGTATTTCTCACATTTTATTCAGAGCAGTAGGGTGCACTTGGGGTTTGTGACTAAGCCCCATACAACCAGATCCAGCTCTTCAGTCTCTTGTACTCAAAAGGTACAAATTCCAGTACCCCTTACCTTTTTAACTAGTAACTTACACATTGTACATATTCCTCTAGCTATCACTTCCTATTATGCACTTTTGACTTTTGGATTACTTTATACAGTGAATACATACACTTCAGTCATCAGTACCTCTGTTCAGTACAGATTATATATCTTTGGCTATTTTCTGCATGCTATTCTACCTGTGTTTGACAGGTCTTTGGTAGACCACAGACACTTCACTCATTAATGTAGTATTTAACACCTGCACTTTTAAGTCCCTTACTATTTTTGTTGCACAGATATGTCTTGGTTTTGTCTGGGATAGAGCTAATTTTCTTCCTAGGAGCTGGTGCAGTGCTGTGTTTTGGCTTTAGTTTGAGAACAACACTGATAACACACCAATGTTTTTAGTTGCTGCTCAGTAGTGCTTACCCTGATCAAGGACTTTTCAGTCTCTCACGCTTTGCCAGTGAGGAGGGCAAAAGAAGCCAGGACAGAGCAGAAACAGGACACCTGACCCAAACTGGCCAAAGGGGTATTCCAGACCACAGCATGTCATGCCCAGTATATAAACTCGGGGGAGTCACCCAGAACAGAATGATCACTGCTTGGGTCAGGCTGGGTATCAGTGAGTGGGTGGTGAGCAATCGTACTGTATAGCACTTGTGTTTATTGTTTTGCTTGGTTTTTTTTCCCTTTCCCCTTTTAGTTTTATATTCTATCCCCTCGTTATTTCCCTTATCATTATCATTATTAGTAGTAGTAGTAGTAGTTAGTTACTGAACTGTTCTTAGTTACTTAGTTACTGAACTGTTCTTATCTCAGCCCATAGGGTTTACATTCTTTTGATTCTCCTCCCCATCTTGCCCAGAGAGCAGAGAGGGATGGCGTGAGCAAGTGGCTGCGTGATGATGAGTTATTTCAAGGACAGATTTTTTTAAGTACTGTATTGTGGTGTTTGGGGGAAATCTTACTCATTGCGAGGTTATTGAATGTCTGTAAAATTTAGTCATCAAAGTTAATTCTCAAAAATGAGAAAGTACCACTTCCATTAGCTGTGGGACAAAGCAGTACAAACATCATATGCCTATGTAAATCAACTTTAATATAAATGGTACTTTAATACATATATATGTGGGACTTTAATATAAAAGATATTGCAGGTGGTTGTAAAAGAAGAGTTATAGTACAGAAGTTTTAAATGTACCTGGTTTCCCATGTCTGGGTGGTGTTTTTCTGTTAGACCTTGTTACCTAATAGCCATTATTCTTCTGCAAGGAGACTGAAAGCCAAGCACTCTGTATGAAGTGGAGCACAAAGTTCCTCAGGTGAGGACAGGCTGTTAAAAAGGTTTTCTTGGTAATGACTGTGGAAGAAGAAGAATTAAATTAATTTAAATCAGTTGAGTAGTATCTGTCTTCTGGTAAATAAATCAGTCTGTGTAAAGTTGCATTCTGAATTTATAGTGTCAATCTCCTGCCTCATACAATACTAATTCATTCTTTCTTTGGCACTAATACCTTTTCTTTTCACTCATCACCTAATAATGATAATACATTATATAACAGAAGGGGGAGAGTGGTTATTATCTGATTTCTGGTAGCATTAACATTTTCCTCTTGTTGGTTATTTCCCCAGCTCCCGGACCTTACGAGAGACTTCAGAATACACAGGAGGACATTTAGACACCCTGTTCCCATATAAGGCACAATCCATGAAAGAGTATAATCTAAAACTACTTTGTCTCTCTAAGTATATAAGCTACTCAGCATGTACTGTCAGAGCTATATGGCTGCAAAGCAATATATTTCTAGGTGTAGGGCTAGAAATACAATTGTCACTTGCCCAAGACATTTTGGACCTCAAGACTCCAACAGAATCTTGAAATACTACAAACACTTTCCATTAGGAATATTTTTTCGTTCTTTCTTGCTTTCCTTTGCCTATCCTAAAACAAGAAGTCAGGAATAGTCAGTGCAAAGTCTTTTGAGCCCCATCTCCAGACCTATGAGAACAAGCCTTTGATTTTGAGGTAAATACGTTTGCTATTAAATTATATTAATATGAATACATAAACAATATTAATTTTGAACATATCTATTTGCCCCCAGGTAAATAACTACAGAAAAATGCATGCCCTAAGCTTTAGAATTTCTAGCTGCGAACTTACTAGCAAACCAAAAGGAATAGTCAAAACATCCGATTTCTTTCTATCACTCTCCTGGAAACCACAAAGAAAATGTCACTTGAAATATAATTTCTCATTTTCTCACAGTCTCATTGTATTCCTCCTTGGTCAAACAAAGGAGTTCTGTGGTATGGA